AAATTAGATTGGCTCACACAATCACAGAGGATAAGAAGCCCCATGATGGCCACATATGGGCTGGTGAGCCTCAGAATCTGATAACTGCTAAGTCCAAAGGGCCAGAAGCCTCAGAATGAGAGAGGGGTCAATGATACTGCCCCAGTCCTGGGACAAAGGCCTGAAAGTCCCCTAGAGTGTCGCTGGTGCATGTCTGAATTCAAAAGCTAAAGAACCTAGAGTCTGATGCCACAGCAGCACAAGTAGGGACAAGTGTAAGCAGTACCAAGAGCTGGCTTCCCTGCTTCTTCCATGTTTTTTGTTTCATCTGGGCCTAGACTATTTGTTGGTGCTGCTGGCATTCAGAACATGGCTTCCTCCTCTCAGCTCACTGACCCAAATACCAATCTTCACTGGAAACACTTTCACAGACACACCCTGATGTGTGCTTTATCAATTCTCTAGGCATCCCTCAATTCACTTGACAACCCAAACTAACCATTGCAGGAACCATGTAAGTAGTCAACTATCCTTTTATTCTCTCCAAAATCCTGCAGAGTTTTCAAAGCACAAGCCAGGGACCAGCACTGCATCAGAATCAGCTAGATACTTGTTAAAAATACAGGTTCTTGGTCCCACCCCAGTCTTACTGCATCAGAAACCCCGGGGTTGGATCTAGCCTTGTGTGATTCTGCTGTAGCCTGAGGTTGGAGAACAACTGTTCTACCTGATAAAACTTCTCCCATTTCATTTCTCACTAGCAATCACCAGCTGCTCAGCAACTACTGTGTTGACTGTAGAGATTTGGGACAAGCAGTACTGTTTTAATCAAGGGGAAAAGTCTTTCGAATAAATTGCACCTAAAAAAATTGCTACAGCCTTAGATGTTATTTTTATGGTGTCTTGGGGACAAATTTTCTTATATGGGACCCTCTTAACTAAGTATTAATGTGAATGATTAAATGCATGCAGCACTTTTCTACAATTCAAAGTTGGGCAGTCTGTGGATGAGAAGGAACCTTAAATGTCATCTGATCTATGTCTCATACTGTGCTTGAATCACCAGCTTCAATGCTAAGTGTTGTTTGCCAATCAGGAAACTAACGGAGCATGTGGGTTGTGTTGTGACACATCCAGTGTGCTGCATATATAGCACTCACATATTGGAAAAATAAAGCCTGGTCATTGAGAATAATATGCAAGCCTTGTGTTAACGCCACACTATTAATGCTGCATGACCTAAAAGAGCGAGTTCCAACAGCAACCACAGGTTTTTCCCTGTATTACGTTTTCATTATATTGCTCATAAAATTGGTACACATCAGAAAAACTGGGTGTTAAGAATTTTTTGGCTTCTCCCTTCAATTCATTTAATAAATCTTTCTTAATACTTTCTTACATTTTTAATGAATGGCACCTACAGTCATGGCTTTTTTTTTTTTAATTGAGGGAGAAACATACAGAATGGCACATCTAGCTTAGTTTTAATTTAAAACTTCTAAAAATGTCAAAGTTCATCCCCTTTAGGTTTCAAAATGCTGCAGGCCAAACAAGCATGAAGACACTGAACGTTCTATGGAAAAAGTAAAACATTCTTTCAGTTCCTTGTACAGGTCAGGAGTTTAGCAGTTGATATAGCTACATAAAATATAGCTACTCACAGTATAAGAGAAATGATCCTATGTAGAGGAGACTGATTTGAAGCTAATATGCACACCACCATGGAATTTACACTGGTTCTCACAACTCACAGTCTATCTGGGAAAATCTTAAGAGTGTGTGTATTTAAGTTAGTTTGTACTTTAAAAAGCAGCTTGGTGCTATCTGCATACTAAACCCTAATTCATTTCATCATTCTGAAATTTTATTTCCTTTCCTTCACATTTTAAAAGAGTCTTTAATGTGGACACATAAGTTACAAATATAAAAACCATTTGAATGGACATGTGGTTAATAAATGCTTGAGAAATTCTATAAAACTGATATAACAAACTAAAACCTCACAATTTAATCTCTCTAAATGGCTATGCAATTTGACAAGTATGTACTGAGTGGATATTATGGGCTCAAATCAAAGCATACAGTTTAACCATGCATCTCAACCTTCCTTCTGCCCAATCAGACTATAATGAAAGTTTCTAGAAAGACAAATTTCCCCCATCAAATTCACCTTTACTATACCAGCACTTTCCACATATGGTTTATGAGTACACCAGAGATTTTAAAAACATCTATAAAATTCTTAATCCTTGGGGCTAGGGATATAGCTCAGCTGGTAGAATGCTTTTCTTACATGTACAAGGCACTAGGTTCAATTCCCAGCATCCCAAAAAAATTTTTTTTCTTAATCCTTTATTTCATGTAGAAAGTTCTTAAATATCCACCTCTTTTGCCTATGAGAGTCAACAGAACAAAAATGATGGGATCCAAAAGACTCAAACTCATTTTTCCTTAGACTTATTTTCATTAGCACTGTTAAATGGGACTTTTTGGCCTATACTTTCTGTCTGAAAGGATACCTCACATGGATGGCACACATAATTTAAATTTTAAAATCCATACTGATTAGGTACAATGTCAGTCAGAGTTTAATAATTTCTTATTAGAGAAAAGAAAAAAATGTATCTTTCCTTTCAATTAAATTAGCAGTTCCCATATGTTCTTGCATAATACTTTCACATCCTTGCTCCCTCACCCCTTTTCTTTCCATGACATTTCCTTCTACAGTGAAGAATGGACCACGAATTAGATGTTCAGGTCCTGGTGCACAGCCATCAATAGCCACTTCCTCGTCCGCAGTGTTGCTCATCTCCATTCCCACCCTGCATTACATTCTAACTGCTAAAT